CTACTATTGTTACACAATTTATTAACATACTCTTTTTTAGGTTCATTTAAGTTCTTTTGATAACGATAGCAGAAAATAGCTATCGAAACGTCAAGATAATTTTTCAATTGTGTCGCAGGATACCCTCTAGGTGATAGTTCTTGATTACTTTTTGATAAATAATTCGTTCTTATTGCGAGATAGGAGCACTATTTATATCAATCTGTAATAAAAGTCGTGAGGAAATTCTGTACTTTTTAAAGACACAAATGTTTGAGGCAAAATACCCAACACGAAATTTGAAAAAAAAAAAAATTTAGTAGACTCAACTGAAGCCCGGTTGAGTGTCGATAGAACTGCGAATATTTCATTGATTCTACTGGAAAAGATGCACAGCTACTTTCATATTTTCTTCATCCAGGCCTTTCTTCAGTAAATTGGTTTTGAATTGGCGAAAATTACAACATTATAGAACTTATCTATATTAAAATTGTCATACATTTCTGCCTTTAACTCCGAACAAGTTAGTTAGTGCCGAAATCAATCAGCTTATTGTGCACTCTTCTCGAGCAGCTTCTCGAATTCGGTTAATTAACTCCTGCTCAGTTTGTGCCAGTGTTCAGTAAACCATTGGTTTAATGTGTGTTTGTGTTCGGCGTACGTACGTGATATTTATTATAATAATAATAAGTTATTACAGCTTCTGCTCTGTTAATGTGGCATTTCCCCATAACTAATCGCCGTACATTTTGTGAAAGAAAGGCCATCCACCTGTCTGTTATCCAACAACAAAAAAACATCTTTCCCACATTGACTTTTCATCAAAAAATTGTAGGAGAAACTCTTCTTTTCGAATGCTTAAGTATTGCAATACGCTACCCATCAAACATGGGACCATTTCAAAATAATGCTTAATAACAAAGTTGCAATTCGAGTTTCAACTGCTAATATCCTGTAGATATTCTGGAAAAACAATTTTCCTACATTTTTCTCGTACCTTCCAAGTGTGCCCCTTTTACCCCGTAAAAGAAATGACGCCGATTTTGAATCACCCTGTATATGAAGAACCTTTAAAAGCATACGCGGTGATTCAATTACAACCGACTGAGTAAAAACAGCTTAGATATCATGGCCCTCCTATCGAGGCTCGATAAGCCAATTGCTTCCAGATTGTTTGGAAGGTATTTCGATCAAACCTGTTTTGTATTTTAAAAGGATAATTTTAATTAAATTTACGACTAAACCTTATCTACCCTATTTTTTCCACCGAAATACCATTTGGGGTGGCTTGTTTTGCCTGCGGAACAATATTCATGGCGGCGCCCAGTTAATATAAGGCGTTGCCCTTAGGGAAATTAAGGAAGTAAAATTAGCATTTAGAAAAAGTGTGCGTAACCTTATTCCCTTGTATTTTATGGGAAATATTAAGATACCGCGCCGTTTACGCGTATCCTGCCATCGCAACCTCGATGTTGGGATGCGAATCGCATTTTACTTTTCGCTGCCAGTTTTCCTTTATCTGATCCGGCTCTCAATCCCAATTTGATTATGTTTGTGCAAACTTCATTTTCATTTAAAACTCCGGGTGATAAACAAAAACACTCTCCCTTAGTTGTGCATCTTTTAATAATAAATTAATTTACAAGGCAAATATCATTTTTATTAACAAAGAAAAGTCAATCGCCTATTTAGTGGGCCGGATCCGACCTGCATATTGGAAAAAACGTTACTTAAATCCGGTCAGTCGCTTTAGGCTAATTTTAAAAATAACTACAAGTAAACTTAGTTTAGCTCAAATAAATACTTAGAATACTGGCATGGAAATGCCATGATTTCAGGTTGTTCACTCACGCGCTCTTCCATTTTTTGTGTTTTCTGAAGCGTTTTAAAAAAATGCAGTTGAATCAGTTGAAAAAATGGCCACACTGCATATGTTTTAGACCATTCTGAAAACTGCTTGCATTTTCTAATATTACAGAGACTTAAATATTGATTTGATTGATGATAAGGAAAATTTGCTTTTTATATCCATTCATTCTTTCATATTTCTTATAACCATGTCAGAGCCTTTGCGATCTGAACCGGGCCATCATGAGGTTTTCCTCGACAAATATTCGGTAAATTTTTTTTCCTGAGCTTGGTAGAGTTTTTGCAGCTTCTTCAACTGGCCTTTACCTAGTTCCTGGCCATCGTGATCGTGTGTTGGAATCCCCTTGAAGGACAAACGAGAAAATCAATTAGTAAACGGTTTTCTTATTGGCCGCAATCAAGCATCTTACTTTGTCGTCGAATTTTGAATATTTCAGAATGTCGCTTTTAAACATTTCTTGGGGTGGGATTTTCATCTGCGCTTCTTTGGCTGCCTGTGCGGCGGCCAGTTCGGCTGCCCTTCTCTCCTTTTCCAGTCGCTTTTCCTCTTCAGCTCTCTTCTTGGCCTCCTTTTCTTTTAACAACGTGTCCCGATCAACTAGCTTCACCGCGCAACTTCCATCTGGAAAGGAGCATTTATATATCTAGTGACATACGTGCTTCGACCTGCGTTATACCATCTTTATCCTCCAGTCGCACTCCCATATTCGGAAGAATTTCATCCCTGATGTAGTCACACTCGCGCAACATATCTGTCGCTTTTCTATTAATGGCCTGAGATCTCACTTTGCCTCTAAATTCAGCTAAAATGCTTACATAGGGCAACACAACATCTTCAGTGCAGTCGGATGTTTTAGACCCAGGGAATCCTGCAACACACGCCTGAGTTTGGCATTACATTAAGTGCACCCAATCTTACCAATCTTCGCAATGCCTGCATTTGTCCCGAACACGGCCAGCATCTTGGTAACGTAGACGCTTAAGTCGTATAAAAGCACTTGGTTTACCGGTTTGCGTTCCTTCAAGTAAACGTTGGCGCTACTGACTAAGTCTCTAAGCGCATCCAAAGCCGTCCTGGTATCAATATTATCACATAAAGCCAGGTGCACTTTTTCCTTCGTGTCTAAAAGCTTCTTGTTCAATGCGAGCTCAAAGTCTGACCACTTAGTGAAAGTATCAAAGGTTGTGTGTTGAGTCAACCCGCGAGTTACGTCCTTGACATTCAAAAAGAACTCCTAAAATTTGCAATTTGCTTTTAGCCTAACGGTTGATTGCCGAAAACAATCGACTTACGTTAAACAACCGCTCATATTGCAAGGCGCACTCCATAGTGTTCTGACTGTAATCCAGAGTGTCTCGCCAAGAGTGCAGCAAAAAGGCGAATCTCAGCTGTCGCGCTGAATATTTCGAAAGCGCTTCCTGGATGCTGACGAAGTTTTTCAGCGATTTGGACATTTTGCAGCCAGCAATTGTTAAATGGCCGGAGTGTAGGAAGTATTTTACCCATTCAGGATTACCGAAATGAGCCTAAAAAAAACAAATTCACGATTGGATTGATAAAAAAACCAAACGGGCCAGGCTTGTGCGCCCATGAGGAGTGAGAGACTACTTAGACCCGACATGGATGGTAAAATAGGTGCTCGATATTAAACGTCGTTCGCCATTTCATTGTTGTCCAGAAGTATGTTTTATAGTTTTCGTTATTAATGCCGACTGCAGTTAAAGCAAATTCCACAGGTCAGATTGAATTTTAAAATTGCAACAGCAGCTAAGGACAAGTTCTACTAACAATCAACAAACTTTCTGTATTTGTGCTTACCTTTTCAATAATTATTTTGTTCTACTTGCTGTCGCCTTGATGAAATTAAAACATCGATGTACTCACCTCGCTTTGAGCAATTTCATTGTCGTGATGCGGAAATTTCAGATCAACTCCACCAGTATGAATATCTAAATATGGGCCGCAAATCGCTGAAGCCATCGCCGAGCACTCGATGTGCCATCCAGGTCTTCCCAAGCTCCACGGCGATTGCCAGGATGGTTCTCCCGGTTTGCTTTTCTTCCACAGCGCAAAATCATTAGGCGATCGCTTTTCTCCTCGCATGTCTGCTGTTGTTAGATCGCCTTCACCCTCTTGTAGACTGTTGAAGTCGCCCTAAGCCTCTGGTACGAGCTTGGCATAGTGGTGCTTGTCTTTCCTATCAAAGGCTGCCACATCAAAGTACACAGACCCGTTAGCTTCATAGCCGAAACCATTCTTGATGATCCCTTCGATGAAGGAGATGATTTCCGGAATGTGTTCGCTCACTCTCGTCAGGACATTTGGCCTGAGAACCTATGAAAATTCCCAGTCTTTCAACCATTAGCCGGGAAGCTTGTGCAACATTTTACTTACATTTAAAGAGTCCATATCCTTATGAAATTCCTCCTCCCAATGCCTAGGCAAGGAGGAAAATATGGCATTGTCGGTTACAGTGGCGCCCAATTTCGAATCCAACCAGTCCGATAACGGGTCTTTGCTTTCAGTGATAAATCTAGTTTGAGCCTCGTTAATTTTACCACTATCTCCGCTCTTGACGGCCTTTTCCAGATTTTCTATCGACTCATTTAGCCTGGAATCGGCGCAGATAAATAACAGTGCATTCGCTTAATGCCTTTACAACTCACTTGTTCAGAATTTTCTCATACATGGGCGCCTTATCCGGATCAGTGTTGTCTTTGGCCTTCTTCGTGAGATTTCCCAGCACTTGTCCGGCGTCAGCGACCACAGTCTTCAACGCCTTCTTTTCCGCCGCGTATTTTTCAAATAGATAATTCTGCCGCGCCCTTTTGATGATTTTATCATCAATGTCTGTTATGTTCATCACATAGAGTACATCATAGTTGAAGTAGTCAGTGAGCACACGACGAAGGATATCGAAAGTGATATACGATCTGAAATGCAATGGGCTTTAATTTCCGATCCATATGTTTCTATGTTTTAAGCGTTGTATCATTAAATGCTGGGGGCAACTTGAGAACAAGCTAGCAAGTATGGACTGCCTCAAGGGACAGTGGCTAGGAAAAGTTAATTTTTTGATAAAACTCAATTGTACAAATACCTGGCATGCCCCATATGAGACGCGTCGTATACGGTGGGGCCACAGCTATACCAATGCACCTTTTTGCCCGATATGGGGACAAACACCTCCTTATGCCTGGTTAAGCTGTTGTACAGCTTTAAAACAGGTTGGTTCTCTTGGGCGGGATGCGCCCATGGTGGCTGCATTCGTTTCGACATGTTTCTGGGCCAATAATGTGGGCTTTTTGTAGTTTTCACGAACGGTTTTATTCAGGCTAAAACCCCCCAAAAATGTTGCATCAGCAATTTATCGGAAATTACACTTCTGACACACTCCTTGGGGTAATTTTGACAAACGTAAACTGATAAACCCACATAACCTAAATGGTAGACGTCAAATGGTAAACACGTGGCGGGGAGTGGATGACGTTCAATTTTTCTGCCAAGTTTCAATTTTTCTGCCGTCTAATTGAAAGAAAATTGTGAGATAGTATTGGAGGCTCCATAAAGTCAGTGAGACTTATTTCGAAAATTTGTTGAAATTAGTAATATTAATGTAAATTTTGAAGCAGTGTTGCTTAACTGCTCAAAACATTTTTTGTTAATGGAAATGTATGTGCCAAGACAAGGACGAAAATCCTACCACGGGGTTTTTCTGTTGCCGTATAGAAGACAATGACAGATCGAAAGTCACAGCTTTTTACTCAAAAATAGTTGATTTGATAAAAGTATTATTTCTGGGCGAAACTGTGTTCTTAAAACCAAAAAATTCAATATGCAAGTGCCCCCAGTATTTATCGATATTCCTCTAGAGGACCAGGTAAGAACAATTGGACCATATTTTACTTTCACGTGGAGATTAGATTCAGACCCTACAAACCAAGCTTTTTGCCAGCGTTAGAGTTGCATTTTGCGTAGCTTGCAAACAGTCTCGAATCCACTTGGGGGCTCTATTTAAAATATCCTTTGTTAGAATCTCCAATTTTTGCAATATTTATCGTAAACATAACCTAACATTGGGAGTCCTTTAAGCTAGTACTTTATCTAATATATTTAATACCTTTATTTTGGCAAAACAATTCTCTATAGTCTTTTGATTCTATCAGTTTTCGTCCACAAATTTATTTTATTTTAGACGCAAGAGTTGCGCGGCTACCTGAAAAGTCTGGGAGCAGAAATATCGGAAGAAAGATCACCCAAAGGCATTGAAGATGATCTGCACAAGATTATTGGCGTGTGTGATGCATGCTTTAAAGAGGGCAATGAGCCCCAAGTGGAGCTTGTTTTAAATGACATTGTCTCCATAATGGTTTTGGTAAGTATTCCGGCTGATTCTATTTACATCTTTAATATTTGAATGCTTACTTTAAGGTTTCTCCAGAAAGGGCGGAAAATATAATTTTGGCTTTCTGTGAAAAACTCACGAAAGCCCAAGGCCAGAAACTGGGAGAGGTCTGCCTAAGAGCGTAAGCCAAAGTACTGGATATGTTGAAATACACAACACACGACAATATATTTTTTAGGCTCTGGCTCTTATATCAGTCTCTTGATGAAAGATCAGCCATGAGATATCCGGTCTATTACCATTTATTGCAGATTGCAAGGCAAACTGACCAAATCAAGTCAATATTTCAAGATATTGAAAAACTGAAACAGCAGTTCAAGCTTTGCCCATTGTCTAATGAAGAGCTGCAGAAGCTGTACAGGCTGTTGCACCAAGTTTTAGTGAAAAGCAATCAAAGGTTAGTTCTTTGTATACGGCAAGTATGCTAGGATATAAAGATTAGAATAGAATTCGACTTGAAGTAAAAAACTTTTATGCTGGTTAACAGTTTTCCACTTTAGCACGCACAGTGGCGGTTCCAAATGTTTTGTAACGCGCATTCATATTTTTTTCTGGTTCGATTCAGACTGAAAACTCTGTCTAAAGGTTCGCGGTTTTACATTTATAAATTATTCTTCATTAGATGAATATTAAAATAACTAAATCTGGAGTCAAAAGTTATGCATTGAGCTCAAGAAACAGCCATGGAACGTTGATTTATGTAAAAGTCCCAGGCAAGGGAGGACTGCAACGAGTTCATTGAAAACCAGTTAAAGCCATCAATTCAAGACTTGTAGAACATCCAAGAACCTTTCCGACATAAATGATAATTTTTACAGTGAACAAGCTGCTAAAGTAATGATTGAGCTACTCGGAACATACACCGATAAAACGGCATCGCATGCAAGAGAAGATGCTATCCGATGCATCACCACGGCCATCGCAGACCCAAACACATTTCTCTTGGAGCCGCTGTTGGATCTGAAACCGGTACATATCCTGAAAGGACAACTGATTCATGACTTGCTCAGCATCTTTGTGAGCGAGAATTTGGCGGCTTATCTAAAGTTCTACCAAGAGCACAAGGAATTCATAACTAGTCAAGGCCTTAACCACGAGCAAAACATGAGGAAAATGAGACTGTTGAGCTTTATGCAGCTGGCTGAGACTACACCAGAGATGTCTTTCGACACCATAGAGCGTGAGCTGCAAATCAAGAAGGAGGAAGTTGAGGCCTTCATAATTCAAGGTAGTATTCAATGTTTGCAAAAGATTGTCGAGTTGGCAGTTCAATATCGTTGCAGTTTTGAAGACAAAGTTGGTGAGTGCTCGAATGGACCAATCGGCCAAGAAAGTGTTCGTTTCCAGCACCATGCACAGGACCTTTGTAAGGTCGCAATGGCAACATTTAAGAGATGTGCTTCAGTCCTGGAAAAACAACCTGGCCGTTGTTCAGGAAGGAATGAAGTCTGTAACTGCCGCCCAAGCCGAGCTAATGAATCAACCAATGCAAGCTGTTTAGAAGTCCAATCAATAATAATATCCAAAAGAAACGTTTGAAATAGCCGAAGGATTTCAAATACATTTATATTTTTAGTTCAGTATTAAACTAAAAATATTGAATTGAAAATTTGTGTATAACGTATTTTCCATTTGTGATAGAAAAAAAATTCATTTGTATCCCTTGAATGAATTTTTGAAATTTATTTTTTTAGCTGCGGTTTAATCGGCAATGTTTTATTTTGTCTTGGTTGACAACTTGGCATCCTCGGAACTGTCGGTTTTCTGTCCAGTAAATGCAAAAGCATAATTTGACAGAGATGTCAGTTATTCCTGCAGGAACAACTTTTTCCTTTGGAAGTTATTAAAAGTTATTTGAGGAATGAAAGGTTGTCCTGAGTTTTAAATAGCATTAATTAGGAAGATCGTGTTAAGTGCAAAATAGTGTCACACGGGAGAAAGCGAGCTACGTGAGAATACAATTGAAGACAAAGAGTACACAACAGGTGAGTATTTACAATAATCAAAGGTATTGTTGTTGGGCAATTCGCCAAATAGTTTTTGAAAATAATTAAAGGTTAAAAATAAAAGTGGTCTTGATGCTGTTGATGCGATTAGACGCCCTGAAACGCAGGCTTTCTCTTCAATTAATCTCACTGACTGCCTGACTACACTTTAAATTAAATATAATTTTATTATTTCAATAAATATCGCTGACAATTAGTTTCATTTATTTCATTGTTCTTTGCACTCCGACTTAATTCCTTTATTCAAGTACTCTCCATCGTTTATTCTCAAGCAACAAGCCCACTATAAGGACATGCTGCTTGAATATTAAATAGTATAGCGTAATATAATAGTGTACGGTTGCAGGTTAATCAGTAGTAATGTTTTCTTGTAATTGCCTAAATATTGTGATAGAAATTGAGAAACATGATAAGACAGTCAAAAGGGAGGATCTCCTGCTGGACGCTCAAGAGCAAGCTGATGAAATATTCAATTCCGTAAGTACATTTGCGGAACCTGAAGAAAGTGATGCATTTTACTAAACGCGTTTGCTTTCAGGATAGTTGGTATATTGCCAAGCTGCAAAACATTAAAAGAGCTCATCCTGGACTAATTGCATCAAAGCAAATAGATTTATGGACAATTTCCCATTGTCTCAATTGCGACGTTGAAACTCATGCCATTCACAAGGAAAAGGGGGCTTCTTGTGTGTTCATCAATGCCAAGTTATTGGTTTGTACCAGTCGTTATATACAGTATTTTTCAATATGTTCTATCTAACACAGAGCATAGAAATGGCAATCTATTTCAAACTTTTTAGTGTTTATACAAACAAACCAGAAGTTATTTACGATTCCCGATTAATTTTGCGCCAAATTTTTATCTAGCTGATAAGTTACAGTCTGGCGTATTATTAGAACCGATTACTTCACAATCATTCTTGTAAACATAAAGATAATTTGGAGCGAGCGTAAAATATATAACTATGCTTTCACTGTACGAGTACTTTCGACGATTAAACATAAAATGAAAATCTCAAAATGTGAACAGGCGAACAGAAAAAATAAATTCACCTTTTGATGACTGATGATAGTCTTTTAAGTGAATAGCATATTAAAATTGGTTTCAACTGTTCAGCATTCTGCGATTATCCTGTTTGATGGTCAACGACAATTTTTAGAGTTAAAGAAACTTCAAAGCAAAGTTAGCGCTTGCCGGTGGTAAAACAAAGGCAGTGCAAATAATCCCCTTAGGACAAAAGAATTTATAAAATATAAAAAAAAACAAGTTATAATTTTTTTGTTTTTTCCAGAATGAAATGGCAATCAATAAGTTTAAAACTAGTGGCTTAGTATCAACCATATTTAATATAGTGGTAAATCCGAATGCAAATGGTTTTGATACTTCCGTTGTGGACACCTGTAAGCACTGATCATTCAAGCAGTTGAATTGCAGTTTCAATTGAACGAACTTGCTTTGTTCCAGACCCCAACCGAAATGTGGCAAAAATCATCAAAGATGTGAATGATGTTTTTACGAACTACATTAGAGAGGAGCAGGCTGCTGTGGAAGAGCGAGTGAAGAAATACAGCGATGAACAATATGAATTGCTGAATGGCCTTAAGGACAAGGCTTATAAAGAACGAGAGGCTCTAGTTAGGTAATCTGGGTGGAAACAAAACCGACAGCTTAGTTGGGAGAATTTTGTTTTATTGCAGGATTATTCAAAAAGCTGCAATAGAAGGCGCCTTAATTCAGGATCTATCGCCCAAATCCCCCAAAGCATTTGGCAACGTATCTTCGGACAAACACTCAAAAAGTATCAATAATTCACCAGTAAGTAGCTGCAAGTTTAATTAAAGAACGGTTTGCTCATTGTGGAATCTGTGGGATTCAGGAAGTTCCATTCTCACCAAAACGACCAAAGAGTAACACTGGAAGCGACAAACCAAAGTTGGAACATGTAGTAGATGATATGATGTTTACTTTTGAAACGGACGAATTTACTAAACCTAACTTCCATGCGGCAGGCGAATTCTACAGCGACTCTGAAGAAATAGAAGAAGCCGAAGGTACGATACTTCAGCTTTAGCGAGCGTAGTAAAACTGTACTCGCCAATGTGTCTAGATGCCATGGTCACTGTGACTGGGATGGCGATCATCCATGATAGATCAGCAGGCTGGGACGGCCTTGTGGCCAAGTCCTGTCCAGTGGACATTCCCAACTTTTCGCAGCTGGTGCGAAACAATTCCAATCAGTCAAAGATCGACGGCGTTGGTATTGATGGCCTGGTAAAGTGCGCCCAATTGTCGATGGGATTATTTTATTGAAAGGTTTGTTTTTAGTCGCCCAAAGGGAATGGGCAAGTTGATATTGCGGCCAGCATGAAAGCTTTGGCCAGAAGCGTCCACGGTGATTCCATATTTGGAGATCTACCCAGGCCAAAGTTCAGTACACAGATCTGATTGGGTTCAACGTCAACTGCTGTTTAAGTGTGCTTCCTTTGGGATAACAGCGTAATATTAATCGCCTATTGGTTAGGATTGCATTTGTTATTGGCTCAACGAGCTGTACTAACGGCACTGGATTAGGGTAAGAATATTTGATTGGATTGGCTGAGGTTTACTGTCGTCTCGAAACTTGCTAGTCTGCTCATCTTCCATTTTATACATGCTGAGTATTTTTTATGCTTTGCCACATGAAATGCTGGTAAAAACACACTACCCCAAATTGTTCTTGTTTAGAATTATCGGGCATTTTGGGAATATCAAACTTTGTTGAACGTAATACTTTTAAAATTAGTGCTTTATTGTTGGTTGTGCCATTATCAATGCCCTGCAAGTACCAACTGAGTGTTGGCTAATTCAGCAACTCCGTTTATGCGTTGTTTGCCCCGTCACTTTTACTCAAATACCCAGTTTTTGTTGCTGAGTGCTGCTAATATGCTTCTAATTACTTATAGAACTTACTAGACATATAGCTACCGAATAATGCGAATGGGAAGTTTTATAGGATCATCACATGCTGAGTAATTTTGAAAAGAATCACATTTTCAGTAAAACTTTTCCCACTGGCTTATGGAATATAATATTAAGTTAACATTCAATTGATTTGATCTGTTCTTACATTTTTAAGGGTGTAAATAAGTGATACTGAGCTTGATGAAGTGAACACTGAATCGTACAATTTTTATAGTTTGTAATATTTTAGAATAAAGTTACTGGTTTTATTTCCATACTGCGGATTTTTATTTCATCGGGTTTGACTTGTTTGAAATATTCTGTTCCACGTGCTGCTGTTTATTGAAAAGTACTATTTTTTAAGCACATTTTTAATATATTCAGGGTTCTCCAGCTTTCAAGTCGGTATGGTTTTGTGAACGTGGAGAAGTGCCAGTTCAGTTATGCACTCTTCCGCCGTTGAAATTTGAAAGAAAAACTGATTCCACCGCTGTTAATGAGGCGTGCAGATTGAATGTTGATCCTCCCTTTGGATCTTCAGGATTTCCAGGTGGCACGATGCAGCGTTCGGTAAGTTTGGCATTACTTTTCCCCTGATTGCCTTGTAGATTTGAACTTTGTTCCATACCATATTTGTGTATTCCACTTGTATTTAATCATATTGTTGCCATATTTATACGACGAGGGACGTTCTGGATGCTGAATCGAGTTTGAACATTTTTCGAATTTTCTTCGTTACTTTTTATTGCTAGGAAAATGTCTCGTTTTTTGCTCTGAAAACGCTGGTGAATCGCCAGGTTCAAAATCCCATCCACTACAAAACTAAAAAACTCAAAATTTCAACGATGGTAGCGAAAGCCTTTACAATTTAGACGATCATCCATTCACAAACATTCACTAAAACTGGAAAGACCGAAAATTTTGAAGAAACTTAAAATATTTTCAGAGCGATGAGGCTGGCGTTTTCCAAGTAGATGATTACATGGTTTTGTTTTCTCTGATTTTTTTTTGGGAAAACTTTAATTTTTT